GCCACGCTCCGCCCCCCCCCCAGCTCTGCCGGTGCCCCTCACTCCCGACCCACAGTCCATCTGCTACTCCTGTAACTGGCCAATGCCACTAAATTGTGTCCGGGCATGGCCAGGTTTATAAAATGGATAAACACTGTCCGGGAGTCGGGTGAGATCCCCAACCCCCCAGGCCAGGACTGAGCCCCAGGGCTGCCCAGGGCAGGGAGGGGCGATTGTTGCCTCCCTCCGGGGTCCCCCTTCATTCCCCCCCCCCCAGATTTGTGTGTCTGTCTTGGTGATGCCCTGGAGGGCTCCGACAACATAACCCTCCCCCCCTCCATGCCCCAAGGTCGGGATCTGTGTCCAGGCTTCATATCCCAGGTCTGGGTTCAGATCCAGCGTCCAGCCCAAGATTTGGGGTCCCTCTTGGGGGGCCCACAGTCCCCCCCCCAAGCGACAGACCACGGCGGGGTGGGGGCTTTTATTCCTCTGCTACCGAGGCGGCGGAGAGCAAAGAGTTAATGGTCCCAAGTGTGTGTGTTTGTGGGGTGTGTGTGTGATTTCAGCACACATGACCGGACGGGGCGGGTGTCAAATCTAGCCCCTCCTTCCTGCGTCACATCCCCTTAAGGTCACCCCGGGGAGGGGGGGGGGCAGTGGCAGACACCCCAGGGCCCCTGCCTGGGAAGGCGCCGCTCGGGGCTGGGGGTGCCCGTTCGCAGCTCTTGGTCCAGACCCCCCCGGGCTGCAAATATCACCCCCCCGGGACACGCAATAAACTATTTTCATACTGAACCCTGCGACCTGTGGGGCGTCTTCGCGGGGGGCACTGCTGGGGGGGCTATTGGTATATTCCCGCAGGTACCCACTGATCTCTCCAGGCAGCCGCCCCCCACCTCTCCCTCCCTCTCCCCCACACCCCTCCATCCATCCCTCCCCCACCTCTCCCTCACACGCCCTTCTCTCCATCTATCCTTACAACACACCTCCATCCATCCCTCTCTCCATCCCCGCACCCTTCCCTCCATCCCTCCCCTACACCCCTCAATCCATCCCTCTCCCCTTTCTCGCACCCCTCCCTCCCCCCACTCCTCTATCCATCCATCCCTACTCCCCCCACACCCCTCTCTTCATCCCCGCACCCTTCCATCCATCCCTCCCCTACAGCCCTCT